TGTCCCACAGGCCGCAGGGCAGCCAGGTGCCCCCCAGCTCCTCGGACGTGCTGTACCCGCGGCCGGTGGGCGTCCAGCTGCCCCCGCCCCTCCTGGAGCATTACCTGCCCCGTGGCGTGGACCCCACCATGCCCGTCATCGTCAACACCCGCAGCCTCAAGGACGGTGACGCCGGGGACGACGGGCACTCGGTGGCCGAGGGGGACATGTACCGCTACAGCGAGGACGAGGACTCGGAGGGCGAGGACAAGAGCGATGGCGAGCTGGTGGTGCTGACAGACTGAGGGGGCACAGGGAGGGCAGAGGGGGTGGCAGGTGCCACCACCAGGAGGGCGTGGCGTGTCCTGGCGGGATGGGACTGAGCCACGGGAGAGCTGCCCGCCTGCACAGGGGGGTCCCACGAGGGTGGGCACCTGGAATTTTGGGTGGCAAGGGCTGGTTTGGTCATGCTTTGGTGGCGCGTGGAGCTGAGGCCACCGAGCCTGGAGATTTGGTGATGCGGCTGCTGCGCTGTCACCCCTGAGGGGATCTGGGGCGTCTCCCCAGAGCATCTCCCAGCCCTGCAGCACCTGTGGGTCCCAGAGAGCCTCACCTGCGCTGCTGGGCACGGACTGGGGACATGGGCTGGGGGCACGGGATGGGGACACGGGGTGGGGACACAGGGTGGGGGCACGGGATGGGGACAGGCGGTGGGGACACGCTCGTCTCTCCTCTGTCCTGGTGTGACCTCCCTGCCGCGCTTCCCGCTCCATCTTTGGAGCCTGCCAGTGAATTCCCACAGAGCCAATTTTAGCTCCAGCCTGACCCTGGCTCCGGCCAAGGGCTCCTCAGGGCCCTTTGTGCTCCCGACAGCTCTGGCCCACTTTGGGAACAAAGCGGGGGCTGTTCCTGCCCTGCCAGCCCCTGCTCGGGGGGGACGTGCCCGGCTGTCCCCAGGCACCTGTCCCTGAAGCTCAGGCTCCACCTGAGCCCTGCAGGGTGAGAGGGAGAAATAATTTTGGGGGAAAAAGTGGAATTCTTAGAAAAAAATGACCTTTTATCTAGAAAGGGTCAGAGCCCCTTCTGGGGGGGGGTTGGAGTGAGGTGTGGCTGTGCATGAGGGGTGTCCAGGTGAGAGTTGGGGGTGTCCAGGTGAGAGTTTGGGGTGTCCAGGTGTGTGTGTGTGTGTGCAGTGTCCAGGTGTGTTTATGCAATGTGCAGGGTGTGCGTGGTGTCCAGGTGTGCATGTGGAATGTCCAGGTGTGTGCAGAGTCCGGCTGTGTGCACAGTGTCCAGCTGTGTGTGCAGTGTCCAGCTGTGGGTGCGCAGTGTCCAGCTGTATGTGCCCAGTGTCCAGCTGCATGCCCAGTGTCCAGCTGTGTGCAGTGTCCGGCTGTGTGCACAGTGTCCAGCTGTGTGTGTGCAGTGTCCAGCTGTGTGTGTGCAGTGTCCAGCTGTGTGTGCAGTGTCCAGCTGTGTGCAGTGTCCAGCTGCATGCCCAGTGTCCAGCTGTGTGCAGTGTCCAGCTGTGCACCCCCGGTGTCCCTCCGTGCGCGGGGCTCCGGCACCTCCCTGTGGCAGCAGCCGGGAACAGGCCCCAAGCCAGAGACACCGCGGGGACAGGGACAGAGTGGGGACACCACGGGGACAGGGACAATGTTGGGGACACCACGGGAGCCACAGCCACCCGGGCTCCAGGCTGCACAAAGCGGGCAGCAGCCTCTGTCCCCATGTCCCCAACCCGAGGGGGTATGCGAAGCTCAGCAGCATCAGCACCGCGGTGCTGGGGACACGGTGCTGGGGACACTGCTGGGGAGACTGTCATGGGGACACTGCTGTGGGGACACTGCTGGGGAGACTGCCATGGGCACACTGCTGTGGGGACATTGCCATGGGTACACTGCTGTGGTGACACTCCTGGGGACACTGCCATGGGAACACTGCTGGGGACACTGTCATGGGAACACTGCCATGGGGACACTGCTAGGGACACCACCATGAGGACACTGCTGTGGGTACACTGCTGTGGTGACACTCCTGGGGACACTGCCATGGGGACACTGCCATGAGGGCACTGCCGTGGGGACATCCTTTACGCCAGGGCCATCTCCCCTCCCCTCCTGCCGCTGTCAGTGCTTTATTTATTCCATTCCACCTCCCTGTGCTGGGCTGGGCTCCCTGCGGCAGGAGCGGGGTCCCTGGGGAGGGGTCCCAGCCCCAGGGCTGGGCTGCAGAGGGACTGGAAGCAGAGGTGCCCCCTCCCCACAGCTGCAGCTCTTCCTCTCTCTCTTCCACTTATTTTTCTTTCTATTTTTTTTTGTTGTTGTTGTTTTGTTTTTTAAAGATTGTAAATATAGATAGAGCTTTATTTTGTTAATAAGACAACGAGTAACTTAACCTGTATATTTCACATCCCTGTTTACAATCGTTCCTCCCCCTGTCCCTTGGCACAATAAAAGTGACTTTTTGGAGCAGAGAGCAGGGCCTGGACGTCACCAGATCAGGAGCGAGGCTTGGATGGGGACATCTCCAGGCACAGAAGGGACAGGAGCACCCCCAGACCTCAGGACGAGGTCCCCCAGCTCCACCACCCCCAAATTCCAGCTACCAGCAGCTTTTATTTCGCACCAAAACAAACACGGATGGGCCAGCAGCCCTGGTTGTGGCTGGGGGAGGTCCCTGTGCCCAGAGAGGGGACAGTCACCTTGTCCCTGTGCCCAGAGAGGGGACAGTCACCTCGTCCCTGTGCCCAGAGAGGGGACAGTCACCTTGTCCCCACAGCCAAGGCTCCAAGGCACAGCCACTGCCAGGAGCTGGCCAGGGCTCAGCAGGGCAGGGGCTGAAGCCGTGCCTGGTCCTGGAGCAGGGCAGCTCCGTGCCACCCCCTCCCGGGGATGGGGACACGGCCATGGGAGGAGGACAGGGGTGGGGACAGGCAGGACGGACCCCCCTGCACCCCACCTGCACCTCCCGACCCTGGGGGAGAGGGCAAAGGCAGAGCTGAGAAGCCTCTTGGGGAGCACAGGGGGGAAACCACCGAGCTAAGGGGGACGGTGGGGACAGGCAGGGACAGCGGTGGGGACAGGCAGGGACAGCAGTGGGGACAGGCAGGGACAGCTGGGGCTGGACACAGCAC